TGTTTGTAGTTCTCAACCGAATCATTCGTCAAAGTGCATTGGATTGTGGGTATTAGCCATTAGAGTGTGCACGGATCCACACTTCAAAAATCAACCTAAAATAGTAGACCATCCGGGGACTTTTGGCATACTCTTTTCAACATATATGCTTTGGGACACACTAATTCTACTCTCACATACTATTTAGGATGGATAGTATTCGGATGCAAGGCTGGTATCGCCACTAGTGATGGGAGAAACGAACCTTTTCGAAGCTTCGAATCAATTGAACCAATTGCTATAAAATACCATGAAATAGGAAGTGTCTGTATAATATGTGGCTTTTAAAATATTAATTTGCAGGGCTTGTTTTGTTTTGTTTTATGGAGAGCTTGTATATATAGGCCAGAAATATATATTAAGTACTTCTCATCCTTTTATTTACACAAATGTCTTGTTAAAAATGTCTACAAATTGATGAATCGTAGGTAAGTCGCAATGGCAATAAGGCGGCAAGGCGGGCATACACGGTGCGATTTTTGCTGTCGTACGAGCTCGCAGGCGATTTTTTTCTCATAGGCGAAGAAACGAGATAGCCTATGTATGACCAGACGATTTATTCATATCTAAAACGAGACGATGTGAACATGCAGTGCATGTTTCATTCATACTCGAAGCCGGAGGGCGCTCTCACGCAGAATGTCCAAAACGGCCTTATAATATATAATAATGTGCATAGTAATATATAATAACTTATGACGTGCAGGAAATCCCTAATATGGACAAAGGCATCCAGCTATGGCTGTAGCTAAAAAAAGGTAATTTCAGGTCATTTCCAGGTAATAAATATAGTATAAGAATAATGCAGTGCTAATTGACATAACATTTATTACAATATAGAAACTATACTGCCTTATTATGTTTGTATAAGCCAATCCTAAAATTGTCATTAGGAAAACACAGAAAAAATATAATAGATTACAAATGATTATCGTCCAGCAGTATATTTGATTTCTTAGCCAATTAAAAGACATAAGAAAAATAAAGCTTGAAAATTAGACAAAAGTTTTTTTTTGTTTTACATTTCTGTCCCCCTCATTTCTGAAATTGTGAAATTTCAGAAATGAAATTTCTGAAATTTCTGCTTGTGCTTGAATGGTTTAAAGTCATTAAAATGCGCATAAAGGAATCGATAAGAGGAATCGAAATTTTAATTTTATAACAAGTAGACGATTCCTGACCTTAAGCTTCCTATTCCAGAATTGGAATAGATTTTGGATTCCCAAGCCTAGGTATGGGTTAACATGTTAAATAAAATGCTCTTTTTTTGTTAAGCAGCTGAAGGAAGCCAATGAGGAGTGCTACACACTGGCCACGGCTGAGGGCACACGAGGAGGAGTGCTCAGGAGTCTGCTCCACTGGGGTTAAAGTGTGCAGTGTGCACTACTTCCTGCCGCAGGTACAGCTGTCACAGTGTGGTGTGGAGCTCTAGCTGTGTCAGAGGCTTGCCGTGTCCTTGCCTTACTGCTGCGAGAGCTGCTCGGCTGGATATCGCAATCGTTCTCACACGCACACGCAGAGGAATCCAGATCCCGTCTTCACCATGGAGAAGGTAAGACGGCCCTGCACTCAATTTTTAGGAAGATTTTGCGAGCTCGATTCTGCAAGATTTGAATTGTCTTTGAGTTGACACTGAGGTAATCTGCAAACTGCAGCTTCTTGTGACACAGAGATGACGCATGATGTGTTATTGTTTCGCTAGTTATGCTTTTTGGGAATACTAATGCGAAATGCAAATGTGAATATTTTTGGCATTCTTTGAACAGGCAGCTTTGCTTTCTAATGAGTTATTAAAGCACAGCAAGTGCAGGGTTCAGAATGAAGACTTCATATTGTTTTTCATGACAACAATGCTTGGCTTATGAATATGAAGTCCCAGAGTAGTTTAAAGTGATAGTTCACCCAAAAATCCAAACCTGTAAGACTTTCTCATTAATCCATAGAGCACAAAAGAAGATATTTTGAAAGTCAACGGGGTCGAAACAACATTTACTTTTAACTGTATGAACAAAAAACACTTAGATGGCTTTCAAAATATCTTCTTTTGATACGTTGGAAGTGCAGTTTATGCCTGCTAGACTAGTTGTTGCGGGGGTAAGCATATAAGACGCCCACTCATTTGTGGCTGACAGATGTGGTGTGTCAACAAACCCCGTTCTACTGGAATGCAAAAGAATCAGAATCATTTTAAATGTATCTACAGTGCTGTTCTGAGTGTTCAGAGCCCAGGATGGCACAGAGCTTGTGCACCTTCTGCAACAAGTGGCTGAGAAAATGTGCCTGGAGTCCACCTTATATATATTAAAAAACTCATTACTTTTAATCTCAAAATGATTTATTTTATTTTTATTTTATGTGTTTCCACTTCCTTTTCACTTGTTAGAATGATACTGACTCATTTTTTCCCCAATACATGTTCACTTTTTTTATGACACCTTTTTATTACACTTTTTTTTTAAATAGCTCTCTTTATGAAGAAACCTATGATGTGTGTGCTTGAAGACATTGGCGTGTTTTTTCCCCCAAAATTTTCACACTAAATCATATGACTGACAATTGTTTGGTTATTTGTAACTTGTTTAATGGGACATCACATAATTGCAATACGCTACAATTAAATGTTCTGTGTCACTAGACAAATGGCTGCATATTTACACATGGAAAGGAAATAATCATCTCAGAGACCCAATGGTAATTTAAACATTAGATTATGTTTGTATCACTTATATAAAGGACATGACTGATTACCATTTTGGTATAATTATTTCTTTCAGGCCTGTTTATCTGTGCATGTTAAAACTTCCATCTTCAAACCGACAATTGGCTATTATAAACATTCACTTGTAATGAGTGAAGACATAATGAATTGAATAATCTGTACTGAGACATTACCATCTGCTATGGGCAAATCTGCCATTCCCCTGTCATGATCTCATAACCAATTATGTTAATGGATGTTACTAAGGTGTTCTTCCAAGGGAGGAACCTCCTCTCAAGTTTCTATTAATGTACTTTCTCTAGAGATGGCTGTGCTTGCTTGCTCAGGCAGAAAGATACTCGTGCTGAATTCACTTACTAGAGAAAAGGAGTCACCTCTGGTAGTAGAAAGAAAGAGAGAGAGAGTGCGAGAGCTTTTTGTTTTAAAAGCCAAATGGAGTGGCATGGAAGGCAAGACGGTGAGACGCAGGCACGCCTGTCTGCCCAAAGAACAAGAGAATGACTGGCTGGGTAGACTAATTGTGTTTTAAAGTGGGTCTGTGGGTACACAATGGGGAATCGGATGGTTTTAAGCTCCCATGAGCACTGCATCAGCATGAGAGAAGCTTCATTCAACCATTTGACCTGCAGCACCAGCCGCGAGACCCTCCACCATCGTCTGAAATAGGCAAGACTAAAGTCTTTCTTTTACCAATCTCTAATTAGCTCAGGTTGGCTTTTTGCTTGCACATTTCTGCTCTTAGCCACTGGACATTATCAGCTCCGCACCATCTTTTTCTAACCCCTCTTCTTTAACTCAATGAATAATGCATTTTATAATAAGTGTGAATAATTATCCTGTGATGTATTGTAGTGTTGTATTTTTTATGTGACCCAGTTTCTAAAACTGATTCTCTCTCAGCAAACGCAGCACAATTTTGGCCAGTCTGTCCAACGCTAGCTTTCTTTTATGAAAACTCCTGAGCTTACTCTCAAGATGCTCTGAAATCCACTTAATGTATGATAACGACACCACAAGTCCTCACAGCAAATGAGAGATGGAGTGATAGAAAGAATGAAAAGAAAAGAAAAAGAAAGATAAGAGAGCGAGAAAGAGTGGTAGAGTGTGAGAGAAACAGAAGTGCGGGTGTGAAGCAGGATGTGGTCGGTCCGGATGGTTTTAAGCTCCCATGAGCAGCTCTAGAGGAAGAGAGAGTTGTCAGATTTGTAGGTCAGGCTGCAGGGGTTGTTGTCAGGCAGACTCACGGTGGTAGAGGGGGTTTCTTAGAGGGGATCTGCACGACACCGATGTCAGTTCGGGTTACGTATGGTTTCATTAATTTCCGCCAATCCCATTTGCCCGCCCACCTGCCTTTTCCCCCTTTATGCATTGGTTGTTGAACATCTCCTACCTGTGAAAGATTTTTGAGGAAGTCATGCCTCAAAATTCTTTCGAGAAGTGGAAGTGTTATATGATCATAATTGATTTCACACTTTGCAGGGCATTGTGAGAGCACATCTCAATTCCCATCTGCTCCTGGAGAAGGCTGACCCGGTTTCAGCGTGTTACGTGGGAGCAGGCCCGGTCTGGAGGGACCTGTCCCTTACTAGTGCTGATCTAAGGAAGTGAGGAAGCAGGGCACCAACGTGTTCCCTCATCACCGATCCATCTCACACCCTTTTCGTGCACTCCTCCGTTAGGGATGGAACGATTACCGGTTTCACGATAAATCACGATAAAATGCCCTGACGGTTAGTATTACCGTTTAAAATTTAATTATCATCAAAACCGTATTTGATTATCGCGATTTTGAAAACTCGCGGTAAATCCTGTCCAGCCAGCATCAGTCTGACGCAGAAGCAGCATGCAATGTGGTTGTT